AATTAAAAACAATAAACACATTATTCAAAAAAAAAAATGTGCACATTTGCTTCATTCATTTTCCCTCTTTTATGACATTGAAAAAGGCTTCATTCAAATCACCAGCTATGGGATGACAATATAACAACATAAGTATATATTTATTATCATATATATTTTTTTACATTAATTAGGAGGTTTGTCTTTTCCCTAAAGGTCTGGAAGAGTGGACCGACCAGACCATAAAGAGGGCCATCAAAAAATCCCTTGAAGAACACCAATGAAGGTGGGAGGAGCATCTAAAAAATGGGTTTGAACATAATGTCTCAGTCCAGGCATCTTCCAGGTACTCGCCTTTCCATCTGAGGAATGGAAGGGAGCCACAACTGAGGTGATCAATGGCATTTCAGTGATCATCTTTAGCAATTTGTTATCTTTTATTTTATGTATGAAGTGTAGAAATGTTCCACTATGTGGCAAAAGCCCTAATCAGTAAGAAAATGTATGCTGATTGGTGAATGTTTCATGGTTATAGGTTCCTACTGTCTAGCTAAAAACTGTTTTATTTACGTCAGATCAAAGGATACCTGGCTGACATAAATGTTGGGGATGTGGATGAACAGGACAGTGAGGTCTTTGTGGACAGGCAGATTTAAGAGGACAAAGACATTTTGGACAAGGTTAAACTCAGCTATACTGTCAAAGACTGTTCCCAAATACATAAAAAATTACATCAGAACTTCTACTTATAAATCAATAAAGGACTAAATACAAAAAGGTACAAGAGAACATACAAAAGGCCCAGCAGAAGATAAAGGATACCTTCAACAGGAGGACTAAGAAAAGGATTAAGCAGTTTGACATCTCTCCGGGCAAGGAAGTACTCAAGAAGAACAGATGAAAACATTTGCACAGGTTACTGGATTGCTTTGCTTTTCAAGTAAGACAGTTCGTCTGCAGTGGCCCCAAGTCCAGCAGCAAGAGGGAAGCTCAGACAGTGGGTTCTTTGCTATTGCAAACAGTCTCACTTTCGGCAAAGTGATGATCTTTGCATGATGAAATGCCATCAGAAACTCATGCATGAATAATTCTTATCCTGCCTCCAGAATGAGATCTTAACATCATTTCCCAGTTGTTGAAACTGAGGACTTGTGATGCACATTTCAAGAGGATGAACATACAGACAAAATTGGTTATGACACAGTTCCGTTCCTACGACAGTGACGTAACCCGAATTTTGGTGTAAATCGAAACACACCCTTATTCTTTTTTATTTTTCTGCCCAGCACCACCCCACCTCTTCGGAGGACAACTTTATTTTACATTAAATTAAAGGTAAAGTGTAAAGAGTGTGGCCACTCCGAACTGTCCTAGTCCTAGTACCGTGATTATATAAAAAAAAAAAACAAAGGTAAACAAATAAAAATAAGAATAATAATAAAGGTGGGATGGAGAAAACAAAGTGTAGGGGAATACAGAATACAAACAACCATAAGAAACATAACACTCATTACAAGGACATCAAACAACAAAAATTATAACAACAACAATATCAACAACAATAATAATAATAATGTTACAAATAGGTATTATATACACTCACCTAAAGGATTATTAGGAACACCTGTTCAATTTCTCATTAATGCAATTATCTAATCAACCAATCAC